GAATCTCTACATAAACAAAACATGACAATCGTGCTGAGGTCTCCAAGTCTTTCCTCAGGGAGTGGACCCTGAGAGAGTTCACTGGAATCTCTTGGGCTCAGTGGGCTCTGTTTGCTCTGGAAGCCAAATGAAGTCTGAGAGGAAGAGCTGTTGGAAAAGGTGTAGGAAGGTTCATGAAGATCTATTAGTTGAACCCGAGAGCTTGTGAGCTAATGCAGATCTAGAAAGGCAGAATCTTAGTAAGCAGGTCCAATGCTTTATTTAAATGCCAGGATGCTGGTTACCAAAAGCTGAGAACACTCTCAGCTGAAAAGGTCTGAGGCTATCACACTCTTCACAGAAAGGTGGTGAAACCAGTGGTTCTCAAAGTCTAGCTCCAGGACCAGCAGCCTCCGTATCGGCACCCCTGGGAGCTTAGCAGAAATGGAAATTCTTTGGCCTGTCCGACTCACTGAATCAGAGTTCTGAGTCTGGAACCTTCGGATTCTTTTGCCCTCTAATGTGTGGAAGCCTCAAGGATAAATGAGTGGAATATAGTTCAATTTAAAAAAAAATCTGACTCACTAGAAACTAATTTGAAAAATAAGATCAAACTATCAAAAACAAATGTACAACTGTATGTACATTTTCTGTACAACATATTATGTACAACTGTAATGCACCAATAAAAAATGTGGAAAGAAAAAAACATTAGTCCAGAAAAATTAGAAATATTATCACAGTGAGGTAAAAATCCATAGCAATATAAAAATAAATTTTGTTGTTATCCATTGTAAAAACATAATATATGCTCATGATAGTAGATTTTTCAAAAATACAGAGATGGAGAAAGATCATATATTATCCCACCACTTAAAAAATGTGTTCACATTTAGTTTCTTTCCTCCCAGTATATTCTTCTTTTTCTTCTCCATATTTTTATTACAATTATTAGTGCATATTAATTATACAACACACTGGTWTCGTTGTGATAATACCACACATGCATACAATGAATAGACTTCATTTATATCCCTCTTCCCCCTTTCTTCCTATTTCCCTCCCCTCTTCCTGGTCCCCTTCTACCCTATGTGAGAAATAGGAAGTCTGGTGGTCCATTTTCAGAATCCAGTATTTAGACTTAATGTAAAACTGGGAAGACACAATAGCACCATAGCCAATGGAAACCAATTACCTTTTCTGAGCTCCCCAACCTATATCCAATCACAGCCATTTTGAGCTCCCAACCTGTGTCCACCCCAATTTTAAAATTAGCCCTTCACGGATAGCATCTTCAACAAATGGTGCTGGGAAAACTGGAAATCCATATGCAACAAAATGAAACTGAATCCCCTTCTCTCGCCATGCACAAAAGTTAACTCAAAATGGATCAAGGAGCTTGATATCAAATCAGAGACT